TCTTGTAGGGTATTTCATTAAATAAAAATACCAGAATTTGTTCCCATTCTACTGTTGATGTACATATGGGTTGTTTCCTGTTTCACACTACTACAAATGATACTACTATGAACATTTTGAACGTACACAGATACGAGAGTATAACTAAGAGTGAAGCTGTTCTGTCGTAGGGTATGGACAGGATCAAATTTCTATGTTTCGTAGGAGGATGAGACCACCACTCTACCCATGACCTGAAATAAGAAGACAAAGCTGAATGAGTGACAATAGTTAGGAAGAGCTGTGTTGGTCAGGCACAATCTTTCTAAGCCCAGCTGACTGTTCATCTTATTTATGTATGGATTTGGGAAGCTGGGAGTTCAGGGGTTTGTGGACTTTCAGAGTGTTAGGGGTTTGACGGATTAAGAAACAGGGTGCTCAGGTAAGACTGTTGTTGATTGGTTGGGAATCACTTACCAGAGTGAGTCCGTTCCTAATTGGCTGAAAGTCAGAAGTGAGGGGCTGTTATTGATTGGTTGTTTTGAAGAGCATGTTTACCATAACTGGGATGCCATTGATTGATTAAAGGGTTTAAAATATGGGTGGCTAAATATTACCACGGTTACAGAAAAATCAGTTTTTACTTGCTGTATGGGAACTTTTTTATGTTCAAAAGATATTGCCAACAAATTAATTGTCCAACAAATGTCTTTGTTTAACTTGTTACTATGGGAAAATCTTCAAATATAAAAAAACTGGAGAGGATAGTATAGTAAACTTTTATGTACTCATTACTTTAGTACTCATTACTCATGTACTTCAGTAATTAGCCGTTCATAGCCAATTGTGTTTAATCTACATGCTACCTACTCTCCAAACTCCTGGATTACTTTGAAGCAAATCTGAAACATCCTGTGACTTCATACCCATAAATGTTTCAGTATGTATTTCTAAAAGATAGGAACATTTTACAAACACCTAAGGTATTATGCTTAAAATTACACAGAATAATTTCTAATATCATCAAGTAATGTTAAAATTGTCCCTATTCTCTGTTTCTCTCTGTCTAACATTTCCTCATTTGATTCAGACTCCAAGTAAAGTCCATACATGGCATTTTGTTGATAAATCTTGTAAATCTCTTTTAACCCACAGACTGCCCCTCTCTCTTTTTTCCTTCCCTCAGAATTTGTTTGTTGAAGAAACCAGGTTCTTTATCTGGTAGAACTTCCTACAGCCTGCATTTGGCTGACTGCATTCCTGTGGTACATTTAGCATGCATCCCTGTGCTGCATAGTTCCTGTAAACTGGAAGTTAGAGCTAATGGCCTTATAAGACTTGAGCCTGATTTTTTGACAAGAATACTTTATAGGTTGTGTTGTGCATTTCCAACAGGAGGTATAAAATGTCTGATATACTCTCTCTTTCTCTCTCTTCTTAACAATAAGATTGACTAGGTATCGTCAGCCTGATCCATCCATTACAGTTTCTCATCAGTTTTTCAGCACTGATGACATTGCTCAGGTCCTATCCCATTATGGGTTTCAAAAGAGTCTCCTACCATCTCTTCCGCAGTTCTGAGGATGGCACTGGCTTCAGAGGGGAATCTGCATTGGAAACAGTTAATACAGAAGGCAGGGAAAACGGGAGGAAAGCAGGCCGCAGGTAGGAAAACAATATCATTGCTGGAGCAAAGGTTTTGTGCATTTAAAAATGTGAGGGGTATTGCAAAATTGTCCTCTAAAGAGGTTAAACCAACTTACACTTTTCAATAAATGTTTCTACATACTCTGTCAATTTGATGGGTAAAAAACTACACCTCATTCTGGTTTACAATTGTTAATTTTAAGTGAAGTGGATCATATCTTCAAATATATATTGGTAATCTGTATTTTTTCTTTTATGAAAGTCTGTTGCTATCTTTTGCCCATTTTTCTTTTCTTTTTTCTTTTGAGACAGAGTATTGCTCTTGTCACCCAGGCTGCAGTGCAATGGCACAATCTCAGCTCACTGCAAACTCTGCCTCCTGGGTTCAAGTGATTCTCCTGCCTCAGCCTCCCGAGAAGCTGGGATTACAGGCATCTGTCACCAAGTCCAGCTAATTTTGGCATTTTTAGTAGAGATGGGGTTTCGCCATGTTGGCCAGGCTGGTCTCGAGTTCCTGACCTCGCGATCCACCCGCCTCGGCCTCACAAAGTGTTGGGATTACAGGCGTGAGCCACCATTCCCGGCTTTTGCCCATTTTTCTATCAATTTGTTTACGCCTTTTATTTTTTAAAGAATTCTTTGTATATTAGGGAGATGAGTTCCTTATCTGTTATATCATATGAGTTATAGATATTTTTTCAGATTATTGTCTTTTGACTCTGATCAGGATACTGCTTGCTTTGTAGAAGGTTTTTTTTTGTTTTTGTTTTTTAACTGTTATAACGCATTTATCAAATATTTCCTTCATAGCTTCTGGGTTTTTTAACATTCTTTGAAAAGTCTAATCCATACCATTAAAAAGCATTCATAATTTCTCCTAGTATTTCTACGGTTTCAGTTCATTTCTTTTCTTTCTTTCCTCTTCCTCCCTCTTTCTCTCCTTTTCCATACAAATGTTTGGTTCACTTTGATATGGGTTGAACTTTATTTATTTATTTATTTATTTTGAGACAGGGTCTCACTATCTCACCCAGGGTGGAGTGCAGTGGCATGATCACTGTAACTTCAAACTCCTGGGTTCAAATATTCCTTCTGCCTCAGTCTCCTGAGTAGCTAGGACTATGGACATACGCACCATGCCTGGCTAATTTTTAAAAATTGTTTGCAGAGATGGGGTTTTGCTATGTTGCCCAGGCTTGTCTCAAACTCCTGGCCTCAAGTGATCCTCCTGCATTGCCCTCACAAAGTGCTAAGATTACAGGCATAAGCCACCACACCTAGACTGCACTTTTATTTCTTGCCAGATGTTGTCTCAATACTGTTCATAGAATGACTTATATTTTCTCTAATCATTTAAAGTATGACTTCTATTGTGTACTATACGCTGTATATATTTGTGTCTATTTCTGAATCATCTGTTTTGTTTCACTTATCTATTCTTTTAGTACATTGACTCAGATCCTTGATGTATTCAATGCGTTGGCATTCTATGTTGTATACATTAGATGCCTCCTTGACAGGTGCATCAACAATTAGGTGCATAAAGCAAAAACAATTGTAAAGCAAAAACAATTAGGTGCATAATCTCATTGGCATCGTTTAGTTATTGTTGTGTAACATACCACATCAAAACTCAGTGGCTTCCAATGACACCCAGTTAAGCCCACACATTTATAGGGTGTACTAGGCTGGGTTTTGCGGGGGCAACCATGCTCTGCGTGGCGTCCATTCCCTTCCCAGGGCAGCAGGATCATCTGCCTCATGGCGATGCAAAAACACAGAAGGAGTTTGCAAAGACTAAGGCCCCAGAGGACCCAGGCTTTCCTGACCCACTGCCACTTCTGCCTCATCTTAGTGGTCAAAGCCACACAGTTAAACCCAAAATCAAGGATGAGGAAAGTTCCCTTTACCCCCATGAGACATGGCAAAGGTGTGGACGCAGAGAGGTTGAAGAACGGGGGCCACAATCCCAATCTCCCACAGCTACTGACACTAAATTTAAATGGGGAAGCTTCCATAGAAAATTCCAGGTGCTCATCTAATAGTAAGCTAAAAAGGAGTTGTGAATATGTATTTGAAACACACTGAAAATTTAAGTCCCCAGAAAAGTTCAGGGTAACATAACATCCATGTGTCTATCTCCAATAATTAACAAATTAATATTTTTACATATTTGCTTCTGATTTTTTTTTTTAGAAATAAAATATTTTAGAGTTTATGTACTCTGTATATCCTTCCACAGTTTTATTTCTCTCACTATCCAGAAGTAATTACTATCTTAAAGGTAGTCTGTGCATATTTTTATTATATATACAGCATTCACTAAGATTAATATTCTTCTTTTTTAGATTTTAAATATCATAAATAGTATACTCTATATATATAATTCTAAAAATAGCTTTTTAATTCAACCATATATCTAGAGATCTAGCTGTGTTAATATATATAGATTGTTTTCATTTAAATTGTTATATTTTACTCCATTGTATGACTGTATTAGTCTGTTCTTGCATTGCTATAAAGAAATACCTGAGATTGGGTGATATATAAAGAAAAGAGGTTTAATTGGTTCACAGTTCTGCAGGCTGTACAGAAAGCATGGTAGCTTCTTGAGAGGTCTCAGGAAACTGAAAATCATGGCAGAAGGCAAAGGGGAAGCAGCCACGTCTTACATGGCTAAAGCAGGAGGAAGTGAGAACAGGGGAGGTGCTATACACTTTTAAACAACCAGATCTCACCATAACTCACTCACTCACTATCATGACAACAGCACCAAGGGGATGATGCTAACCCATTCATGAGAACTCTAGCCCCATAATTCAATCACCTCTCTCCGGGCCCCACCTCCAACACTGAGAATTATAATCGAACATCAGATTTGGGTGGGGACACAGATCTAAACCATATCAATGACTATATTATACTTAATCTTTTTTCCTTTATTAATGGATGCTTTTAATGGTATTATCATATCACAAACAAGAAAACATTTAAAAATCACATATTTAAGGTAAGTGCAGGCAATTTTATTAAAATATTAAAGTTATTTGCAAATATTACACAGATAAAATATAATTAAACTGATAATTCAAAAACACTTAAGCGATATATTAAGGAATATGTTATGAAGGGCTATACATTATTAATGATCAATTTTCTTCTGAAATACGTGCTCTAAAGGAAATAAAAGAAAGATCTACCAGCAGACAGCACTAAATATTCCATCATTCGCACGAACATTCTCCTACAAGCCACAGCCCAGAAGACTGTCGATATGCACCTTGCCTTATCATTTTCTGTTAATATTTAGTCAGTGTTTCCAATATAATTGGCTGCTTCTTCAGATCAAAGGCTTTTACATAGGCCCTACCTGCAAATCAAATAGCTATCCATGGAATATTAGAACTTGACTTGCTCCATTCTCTTATATTTTTTGTGTCTCACACTAAAGAAATGAAAGATGCATGATTCTAAGGCTAAATAGCTAGGAAGTATTCATTCAAACTTGAATATTCTTCAAAGAGAGTGTGGGAGCAACTCTAATCGGAGGAAGAAACATAAAGGAAGTAAATCCAGATGTTTTCCACCAAAGTCCTCCTTTTGGCTGGTCTGATTTCTACTGGTAAGTCGAAAGTGCAATTTTAGAATGTTAATTTTTAAAAACTGATTTCAGGGGAAGATTAAAAAGATTAAAAAGTCATTAATAGCATGATCACAACAAAGACTTGTGTATTTGGCTATTAAAAAATGAAACAGGAATGATACATGGTCCTGATGATGTTCTAAATAATTTAAATGGAATGTTCCGGTTCTTTAATGAGGGAAACATAATAGTGGGTTGAGAAGACATTACAAAGCCTTTCAGTTTTGGTCCGGGACTTAACTAGAACAAAACTAGATAATAAAAAGTTGATGTAAGAATTTGATTCTGATTTTGATCAAAATCAAATTCTGATACAGATACTAATACAGAGACTGGTGTGGATTAAGACAAAGGGAATGCTCCCTTAATACTCAGAGAAGGAGAAAAGGTGCATAAATTACTACACTGTCTGATATTTGCCTCAATTCCCAAAGATAAAGATTAGTTGCCAAACTGATGGGATTATATCTTGATCAAGGTGTTGATTTGGAGCTTGGCTCCAAGGCATAAAACTTTTGAAACCCATCTTTTAAAAGTATTTTAAAGAAGAGGCTTCATGGCCATATTCTGTAGCTTCTCTTCACAGCATAGGTATTAATGAAGAGTAAAATGTCTTTAAATAAAATCAATAGTCAAATTACCAGACTCTTGCTTTTGCTTGTTTGTTTCAAAGTGCAAGGTTGAGTGTGCTTACTGTATCTCTCTGTGAATGTTAACACCAGAAATCCAGGATGTTTAATTCAATTGAACATTTATCAAGTGCTTACTACACTAAAGAGATGAATTGTGCCTAAAACAAAGTTTGCACCAAGTCTGCTGAGAAAGCAGCCCTTCCTCCATGTTTCATAATTTTTCATATAATTGGTTCTACTCCTTTTCCCACCTTCTCTCCTAATCTCAGTCTAGGCTAAATTGGTTTAACATTTCAGATTATTTCTAACAATCTCCCTCTTCCCTTCCATGTTTGCAAGTATGAGATATCTAGTGTTAAACAAACTTGGCTAGTTCAGAGTTCGTTTTTCCTTTAATTCAAACATTTGCTTGGATTTGATTAGTAGAACCATTTCAAAATTACAATTTCTAAAAGTATTTTCTAAGCCATGCTGTTTTATTATTTTTGCTTAATCTAAAAATAATGATCCCCATGGCAGATAATGAGCAAAGAAAAATAGAAAAGCACAACTTATACCATTTACTAATGGATCTGAAGCAAGGTATAATGATGGAGGCCAATGCTTATAAAGACACACATTCAGCCAGGTGCGGTGGCTCATGACTGTAATCCCAGCACTTTGGGAGGCTGAGGCAGGCAGATCACGAGGTCAAGAGATCAAGACTATCCTGGCCAACATAGTGAAACTTCGTCTCTACTAAAAATACAAAAATTAGCTGGGTGTGGTGGTGTGCACCTGTAGTCGCAGCTATTCAGGAGGCTGGAGCAGGAGAATCACTTGAACCCAGGAGGCAGAGGTTGAAGTCAGCTGAGACCATGCCACTGCACTCCAGCCTGGCAACAGAGTGAGATTTCGATTAAAAAAAAAAAGTTGTATTCACTAATGCTCTAACATAACAAGGCAGAATTCTGTGGCCCGGGAAAAAAACCAATTTTACATCTGAATCAGGATATAAAATTCTGGAAAGACGACCTTCCCACAAATACATAAAGTTTGGGGAAAACTACAGTGAAAACAGAATTGTCAGGATCCACTGTGTGACTGATAAGGCAAATGGAGATAGGGAATGTCTGAGGCCAGGAGCTCTGCTCTCATGTTTCTCCTTTTTAGCACTGGCAGGGCCATGGGCTAATATATGTGCTGGCAAGTCTTCCAACGAGATCCGGACGTGTGACCGCCATGGCTGTGGACAGTACTCTGCTCAAAGGTAGGAAGTTGCACAAACAACCATCCAACCCTTTGGTCCCCAACCTCTTTTCTCAGTGTCCTTGCCCAACGTTGGTTGCCTCAAGGGCTCACAGTTCTGACAGTATGAAAAACCAGAGATGTAACCAGTTATATCACTGTCTTTGGAGCAGCTTCCAATAACTCTGCTTCAATTATGAGCTGTGAATTCGGATCAGAATGTGGAAGAAGGAAAAGAGCAGGGAGCAAACACAGTTTTCCTTCTGAATGTCTTCACACATTGACTTACCTCACTTGGTTTTTCCAAAGGGGTATCAAACACGACTATCCCATTTTATAGAAGAGAAACTTGAACTGAGGTGCCAAAGCGTTAAGGGACCTGCCAAACACAGTTGGAGATGGTGAAGGCTGGGCCTGAATTCAGGCTTTTGGTTCCTCTTCCCACCAAACTACGCTGTTACTGGCCCAGGTTCTGGAGGTTGAATATTAGAGGCTGACTCTAAGCAGGCGAGAGAGCACCACTATCTCTTCCAGACAATGAGGGTCACACTCGTGAATTTTCAGTTATACCCAGCATCAACGTGGGGTGCCACTTTCTAGTGAAATAGCCATGTGTCCAGTCATTTCACTGATCTCCATCCTAACTAGAGGGGAACTCTCACATACACAGATACAACTTACAAAACAATCTCAAATACTGAAACAGGACTAAGAAGGGAAATATGGGAAACGTCCCCTGAATTGCCTAAATTTAAACTCAGCTCATACTGTAAAGTTTATGCACTTGATTGATACAGTAACTTCTTGGCTTTTGTCTTGAGCCTGCTCAGTGTTGCTGTGTACATAATTGTAGCAATCCTGGTAAATCTGATCGTTCAGACGACAGCCTATTAGAAGCCTATTAGAAGGCTGGTGAGAGCAGGCATAGTGACAGCAGCGGGAAGCAAGAGCTGAGGGGTTGCTAAGATGAACTCAAGGCACCTCACGATCTGGAATAGTTTGGTTTGGGCTCCATGCACTTTAATAAACCCAGGAGGTATCACACGCTGTATTAAAATACCATATATAGTAAGTGGTATTTACAATCACTTTTCTAGATCACTGCGAGAAAAATAAGACAAGGGTAACATGTGATACTTTTATGATAAGTTCCCATAAAAAGCCAGCTGTTTTCAAAGTGGGCTTGAAGACGTCAAGATCTAGGTATCTAGAAAATGCACTTACATGGATTGCCTCATTCCCCCCAAATGCCATAAAATAATAGTGGTTAATACTTGTTTAAAGCTTACTATGTATCAAGTACCATTTTAAATGCTTTCATCTTTATAACATGGTTATTAGCACCTGCAGGGAGGGAGGTTAAAATTGGCCTAAACAGAGTGAGACATCCTGGGACATCCCAACATGTTCTGGCAGCTTCAAGCTTTGGTACCTCGTCTGGATACAGTGGGCTAACACCATGTTCCCGGGCAGTAAAGCTCCCCAGGGCAGCTCCTCAGTCTGTTCATTCTTATTTACATCCTAGAAGTCAGAGGCCTCACCAGGGTGTGGACATCTTGTGCTCTGCTGGATCTACTGTGTATGCACCATTCACTGGAATGATTGTGGGCCAGGAGAAACCTTATCAAAACAAAAATGCTATCAATAATGGTGTTCGAATATCTGGAAGAGGTAAGAGAGGTGGAGTCTATACCTGGGGTGTCTACTGGACATGTTGATGCTTATTTATTTAATGCAGGTTCCATACAGAGAGATTTTGTACTTCTTTCAAAATGATACAACCTAGAACAGAAAGAATATAGAGTGTACCCAAATTAGCGATGCGTTTTTTAAAAAACTTTTATTTAAGGTTCAGGGGTACATGTTCACATTTGTTATATAGGTAATAAACCACATGTCACAGACATTTGGTGTACAGATTATTTTGCCACCCAGGTAATAAGCATAGTACCCGATAGATATTTTTTTCTGATCCTCTCCCAGCTGAGGCACTTTCAAGGATGTTTCACCATTTTCTTTGAAAACTTCTGCTTCACGCACACACTCCATGAAACCCCACAGCTGATTGAAGGCATTCCTTCCTGTGACCCATGTGGTTTTGCTTAACAATCTATAAACGAAGCCACTTTCAGCAATGCTAACCATAATGGATAGATACTTGCATTTACTCAAATCCCACAAATCATAAATGCTGGCATTTCTCCAAGAGTCGAATGTGAAATATTTTTGAAAGCTTCTAAGTTTTAGGTAAAGCTAGGTCTCCTGGTACTCCAGATATTGGCTTTGTTGTTCGGTTACTCCACCAACGTATAAAATATACACATAAAAGTGCACTACACATCCATGTGTAGCTCCGTGAATTTCAAAAAGCAAATATACCTGTGTAATCAGCACCCAGATCAAGAAAAAGAACATCACCCACATCCTAGAGATCCCTTGTGCTACCATTTAGTCATTATTCCCAGCAAGATAATCACCATCCCAAGTTCTAACACCATGTACTAGTTCTCCCTGTTTCTAAAAATGGTATAGAATTAAACAGCATTCACTCTTTTTTGTGGGTCTTCTTTCATTCCACATCATGATTATGTGATTAATATTTTTGTATCCACATTTTTTTCTGATGCATGATATTCCATTATATGCATATATTTTCATCCATTTATCCATTCTTCCTCAGACGGACTTTTGGGTAGTTTCCAGTTTTAGGCGATTATAAAATTGCGGCTGCGAACTTTCTTATACCTTTTAACGAACATATATATGCATTCCCATTGGGAGTGAGTCCAGAGGAGACTCTCCTCACCAAGGCTGTGAGAGGCATCTTGTGAGGGAACCCACATCCTTGAGGAGCTATATAGTGGTTGTCCTCTTTAGGCCCAACGTCACAAGGGAAACTTCTGCCATTGAACTGGGTCCTCTGAAGTGGTGCTTAACAGTTAATGCCAAGGTCAGTGAGAGCAGTAGTAATCAGATTCGTCTAAACTGCAGAGATTTGTGACGTTGGCTAGTAATCACGGTGACCCTAGAACTGAATAGATGAGCAGCCAACTAAAGCCTTATTGGACTTGTGTGAATGGAAATGCTCCAGGTCTGATGAACAAAATGCTGACTTCAGTCATCACAATAATGGGTTCTAATTCCCAATAAATTCCCAGGCTTGAATTGGTTCAGTCCCAGAGCCTCTTGAAAGAAAGGGAGGCTCAGTCCTTTTGCACAAGGGTCCTGCCGTGCAGCCAAAAATTTATACTGTAAACCTTACTTCTAGCCACCCCCAAAGGGACCTGCAATGGTTTAGCAGGATGACAGCACATTGGGGAAGAAATAATTAGGCTCTTCAGAGATTATTGGACACTTGCTCAAAACTGACACTAATTCCTGGAGATCTAAAAGGCCACTGTGATTCACCAGTCAGACTATAAAGTAGGGGCTTATAGTCAGGTGGTCAATGTAGCTTTTCACTAGCTATCTTACAGTGCTACAGAGCTTTTCACTCCATCTTACAGTGAGCCCAGTGCATCCTCCAAACTACCAAGAGGCTATTTCCCCAGTTCCAGAATGCAGAATTGGAATTGACTTTCTTCTTCTTTCAGACTGCCTTGGCAGTTCTTGGTTATCTGCATTTCCAAACAGAATCTGTTTGCTAATTTCCACCAAAATTCCTGCCAGGGCTCTGACTAAATCTACAGTAAATATACAGATCAAATTGAGAACTGATATTTTCAAAGTAGTGAGTCCTCCAATCAATGAACATATTATATCCCCCACTTACTTATGTCTTCCTTCACTCTTATATTAATGGTTGTTGTAGTTTTCACTGTAGAGATCTTGCACATCTTTTAATATTTATTCATAAAACCTACCTGATGGGAGTTTTAGCTCTTCAACAGCAGAACTATCCAATAGAAATATAACAGAAGTCATGTATATAATTTCAAATTTTCGGCCAGGCGTGGTGGCTCATGCCTGTAATCCCAGCACTTTGGGAGGCCGAGGCGGGTGGATCACGCGGTCAAGAGATCAAGACCATCCTGTCTAACACGGTGAAACCCCGTCTCTACTAAAAAATACAAAAAATAAGCTTGGTGTGGTGGCTAAAAAATACAGAAAATAAACTTGGTGTGGTGGCAGGCGCCTGCAGTCCCTCAGACACTCGGGAGGCTGAGACAGGAGAATGGCGTGAACCCGGGAGGCCGAGCCTGCAGTGAGCCGAGATCGCGCCACTGCACTCCAGCCTGGGACACAGAGCGAGTAGTTTCTATTAGCCACATTGAAGTAAAAAAGCATGGTATTTTAGTATTTTATTTAACTCAATATTTTCAAAGTATATCGATATGTAATACAAAAAGTATTGAGATATTTTACAATTTTAAATGCTAAGTCTTCAAAATCCACTGTGTACTTTACCATTAAAGCACATCTCAATTCAGATTAACTGCCTTTCAAGTACTGAATAACCACATGTGGCTAGTGGCTACCATATCGGACAGCATAATTTTACAGCCTTATTTTTGTGCTCACTTGACCGGTTTGCAGTGCCAGTAGTGTATTAAAGTCTATTATTGGTGGGTTTCTATCTATGTCTCCTGGCCTCTCTTGTAGTCTCTGCTTTATATAGATGACCTGTTATTCAGTGCACGGATAGATGTAACTGTTGTATCTTCACTGTGACTTGTGGCATTTACTCTCTTATATTATCTTCCTTTGTCTTGTTTCAATGCCTTTTGGCCTGATTTCCACTCTGGTAACAGGACGATAGCCCTTGCTTTCTTATTGCTTGGCAAATCTTTGTCCATTTGCTTGGCAAATCTTTGTCCAGCTCTTCACTTTCAGCCTTTTCAATCGCTGTGTTTTATTCCATACAGCATTAAATTGGGGTTTGCTTTTCAACCCAATGGGACATTTTTTAATAGACAAGATAAGGCCATTCACATTTACAGATATGACTCCTATATTTGTATCCAACACCATCATTTTATTTTATAATTATTGTATTGCACTCTATTTCTCTACTTGGGTCTTTGCCTTTTTAGTTCTTTGATATTTAGCAAGGTTTGTATTTTTGTTCCAGTTATTTCCATTTTCCTTTAAAGTCCAATAATTTCATCAGAATATGTCTTGGAGCTGACTTTGTTCAGGGTTCACCTTTTCTAACTAGCTAGTATTTTCCTGCTATTATTCTTCAATGCCTTTATTAGCATTTCATTTGAATCTATTCTTCCTTTGGCATCTTGTAATTTAGTCTTCCTTTTTAATATCATCTGTCATTTTCATCTATTCCTCTCCGGAGTTCATTCAACTTTATTTTTGATTTTTTATTTTTTGTCCATTTGTTATTTTTTAAATTTCAGATTCAAGGTTACTGAAGCCCAGATAAATAATTATACTTATTTTCTTTTAGGTTTTTGTGTCAAAATGTTCTACATTAAGCCAATTAAGTATAAAGGTCCTGTTAAGAAGGGAGAAAAACTCGGAACTCTATTGCCCTTGCAGAAAGTTTATCCTGGCATACAGTCGCACGTGCACATTGAAAACTGTGACTTGAGTGACCCTACTGCATACCTGTAAATGGAAGGCCAATGGTCAGATCTTCAAAATAAAAAGTCATCTTAAAAACCTGGATGCATACCCCGCTCTTCAAGAAATTTGTATTCACAAAGGAAAAATGCATGAAGGGATGGATACTCCATTTTCCAGGACTTGGTTATTATACATTGCGTGCTTGTATCAAAAAATCTCACGTACCTCATATATGTATACACTTGTGTACCCACAAAATTTTTTTAATTAAAAAAGGAAATTTGAGTTTAAATAGAAACATGATAAGTGCGAGAAAGAAAACATTTTGATTTTAACTCATTGTCACTCTGATGTTCGAGTGAACTGGTTTCTTCAGGCTCTTTGATCTTTCTGTCACCCAAGGAATCTGAGTGGTTTTGTTTTTTAGATTTCTCAGTCCTGAAGATCGAAGATAAATAAACAAGGGAACTTAAGCTGGGCCAGGCTGCATTTTTGACACCTCTAAAACTAGCAACCTTTCTGCTTGAAAATAAGAAAAAGCCTGAAAGTGTTTCTATGGTACAAGAACAGTGAGTGGTTTACAATGCTAGCTTTAGTATACATTCAATACATATTCAAAGAATACGTTGAGTTTAGGTAGTAGACTCTCAGCAGTATCCTTAGGTTTATCATATTGGTTGTAGAGAGAGCTGCTTTCCTGGATAATAAAGGATTTGCTGGTATTTCCATCCACACTCGCCTACATGATTATGAATGATGGCAGTCCAGGAAAACATATTCCAGATTTCAGTGAGGCGGCACTACAGGAAGGACTAGAATGAGAATGAGGCCTACCTTTATCTGAGGTGTCTCATGGAACTGGGCCTGTCAACTTCATCTAGCCATATGCATATTACAGCTACTTATTTCTACACATCATTGTATTATAGCTATGTTATTCTGTGTTAGTTACATTGACAACAGGTACTAAGAGGAAACAAGACCATACAAATGTCCAAAGCACCAGAAATAATTCTGGCTCCTTAAGAGTTTAGCCAGTCGGTAAGAAAATGAATACGTTGAACTAATCATTCTGGAAACTTTCTTCATGAATTTCTGCTTAAATTTGTTTGGAATGCAGAAAATGCCAGCGAACGATTACATTCTTATGTGTAGATTTTTAGAGGAAAACATAATTAACTGAAGTTTATTGTTAGAGAAATGGTTGCATTTGTGTATCTGGACATATGTACGAGAACATTCATGGTATCACTATTTTTCACAGCAAAACCTTCAATGACCCAAATGACCATCAACAGTGAAATCAATAAATAATCTCAAAGTTATAGAATGTAATAGTTGACAGCAGTCACAATAAATGAACTTCAGCTAAACATAATGACCTGAATGAATCATGGCAATATAATTTTAAGTTTACAAAAGTCCAGAAGATCACATAACACATGATATTCTTTTTATAAAATTAAAATATAATTTCCTTTTTATATAACAAAATCATATAAAAAGGGGAGCAAGAAAATAATGAACTCTAGTTAACTCATAACTAGATCACACAGAAAGATTTAAGTTACTACCAGTGCTGTAGTTTTGCAGTTGGGAGGTGATTTCATGGGCATTTATTATTATGAATAACATGTCACAGAAGCAACAAGACTTGCAGTGGGTGGCCAGGAAGAAAGAGTTATCATGATTGATGACTCTCAGGTAGTTGAGAATCTACGTCATACAATTAGCACCTTCTTAGATCTACTAGGTTGGTGCAAAAGTAATCACGGGTTTTGCCATTACTTTCAATGGCAAACTATATCTAGCACTATCTGATTTGAATATGCATCTCCTTGGTACCAAATAACTTTAGGTTGTTTCCAGAAATTTGGCTTTCAAAAAATAAATGCTGTACCCCATTGAGGACACACAAAAAGGAAATACCACATCAGCTCTTAAAGGCAATTTTAAAAGAAGCTCTGAAATATTTGAACAACAAAATCTATGCTTAGTTTTCTAAATAATCATCCTTCTGATTATTTAGGAGGCAAAACACAGGTGGATATGGATATTGTTTTAAAAACCAGACTCATGACCTGGAATGGTGAAATTCCTCAAGGTAGAGCAGGGACATTGCCTTCCCCTCAGCATCTGCTCAATGGAAATGCAAACTTTGGACCAAAGGACTTCTTTCTCAGGAAGAACTGGAATACGGCGCCCTCTAGTGCAACAACAAATCCGTGTTTTTTTCCCGCTTGTCTTTTAGGTTTGGATGTCAAAACATTTGACTTAAGTATAAAAATATTATAAAGATTTGAATGACGGAGGGGTAATAGTACGGAGAAACTTACTTTTCATTAGTAACCATGATGATAATATACACTTCAAAAATTGTGATATTAAATATTCTGTCAAGTTTGATAGCTACACATTAATAATGTGAATAAAATCAATATTTACTTTGAAAATGTTTTATCTGCAAGAGATAAATTTAATAGAAGAAAAAGGAGATAAGTGGCCAATCTAAGAGGCCAGGCTACAAAGGGAAGAATCCTTGCATGCATTTGACATTTATCACACTCAGTGGCATATTACAGTAATCACATGCCTATTGCCTCTGTGACATGTTATTCATAATAATAAATACCCATGAAAAACTGGCTTGTCTCCTGCCTCACCTCTCCCATATTCGGTACAATACAAATGAGGCCAGCAAGGATCACAAGGAAGGAAAAACAAAAAATATGAGCATCCTATTTTTGTGTTTCTGCAGCACAAACAGTAAGACCTTTCCCCCACTCTATTTACCAAATTTTTGCCCACAAAATTATCCAAACTTCTCCAGAATCACCTAACAAATGTAAATGTTTTTAATATGAAAAAGTTTGCTTAAAGAACTAAAATATTCTCCAAAGACTAAAGTTTGAAATTCATCTAATGTCAAATTCATTTATCTAGAATCCACTAGTTTTAAATAAACAGTACTTTTCACAGACTTCCAAAGTAAAGACATTTTCATTAGATAAAACATTAAAAATACTCTGTAAGTTCTTGTCTTGTTTTTGGCTGTTGTAGAAATGTTTTACTCTTCCATTTACTTACCCAGTAAGTCAGGCCAATCAAGGTAATTTACATGAGTTCATGAACTTAGATTTACTCTGAGTTTTGCTCTAAGATTCATTATAGTGCTTAGTTCACTAGGTTCAACTACTGGGCCACTAAAAAGCACGATTTAGAGCAGCAACTTCTCATTCTAAGTAGAAGAGGCCAATGGTACTCATCATCTCTCCATACTAGTCGACAGTGGGGAAAATCTCACCCCCAACCTCCCTTTTCTAGTCCCTGTTTTGCTCCATTATCCTCAGTGCAAACTCCACTGGCATTCTATCACCTGACCATTCAGGCATGTATACTCCCAACCCCTCCTAGAACATATCATGGTAGAGTGATCCCAGGTGAGACCAGAGGCTTATCCCTTCAGAATGTCCACCACTGCTCTGATCCCCAACTCCATCTCTATCAAGCTATTTGTTTGTCCTGTTATCCTAATCAGGTTTTTTGTTTTGTTTTGTTTTGAGATGGAGTCTCGTTCTGTCACCCAGGCTGGAGTACAGTGGTGCGATCTCGGCTCACTGCAACCTCTGCCTCCCGGGTTCAAGTGATTCTCCTGCCTCAGCCTCCTGAGTAGCTGGAACTACAGGTGACTGTCACCACGCCAGGCTAATTTCTGTATTTTTAGTAGAGACAGTGTTTCACCATATTGGCCAGGCTGGTGTCAAACTCCTGACCTTGTGATCCACCCGCCTTGGCCTCCCACAGTGCTGGGATTATAGGCGTGAGCCACCGCACCCAGCCCCTAATCCAGTTTTAAGTCCCCTATTATATGATGCTTCCGTATCCTCCTGAAATCTTAAGGTATAAATTATACTATCTGTAATTGTAATACCACCCCAGTCCTGAAGAAATTGGTTTTATTTTTTAACCAGTAAAATCAGCTCCACTAGCATTTATGGAGTACTTACTAATGTAGCAATACTGTTCTGAGAGGGAGGAACATATAGGTAGATATGAGAAGCCTTACAGACGTTACAGTGAGAAATAACATGGCACAGTGGTGAGAATGTACACACAAACATAGTCTCTAAATACAGGGATATAAAAGTGCTATTTTTTTAAATCTCCATTTACACATCACAATGTATTCTAATTGCTTAATAGGTTAAAAAAAAAAAAACTTGTAATTTTTTCCTAATATCCCAAACTGGAAAGTGATGAACATATTTGTCTCTTTTTACTTTAATTGATTTCTTAGAAATTTAAGATACTGTGGGGCGAACTGAGTAGAACAAGCTTGAAAACCAAAGTACTCAAGTAAAATTTACTGAGTGCTTACTATGTGCTAACCACTAGCACGGCCGATTCTGGGGATAAAACCACTAGCATGGCCAATTCTAGGGAGCAAAAACCAGCAATGATATTGCACTGATGGAATTTACAGTGTAATGGAACAAACCGGTAATAATCAGACCAGTAAGTGATGAATTATAACAGGGATAAGTGCCGCACAGTAAAGCCAGGGTGCTGAGTGCACAGCACAGAGTGCACAACGTGGATCTGACCTATAAGCGGGGAATGGGCCGGGTGTCCAGGAAGGCTTCCATGATCAAGGACATACAGCTAGAGGAAAGATCTCAGGAGCACAGAGAGTAAGCCAGGCAGAGAGAGGTACAAGTCAATTCCTTGTGACTAGAGGGTGCAGGGCAGTTCTGAGGAACGGAGAGGAAATGGGAACCAAAGGGCAAGGGGCAGCTTGATGGGAAATGAGGCAAAAGAAGCAGGGAGGGACCAGACCTTGCAGGGCCTTGTGGGTTATTTTAAGGCTAGATCTTCACCCTCAAGACAATAAGCAGCCACTAAGGAGTTCTAACTGTGTTGCTAATTAAATTCTAAGATCACTTATGCAGAGGATCTGACACAGTTCCAGATCCATAGCAGGAGGCAGCGAATGCTGACTCCCTCCTAAACACATCCTGCGGCATTTACTGCTTTATTCAAATAGTGTACCAGCTAACAATCAGAATGAGTATCTCTTCTCTTTTCACATCAGTATCATTATGAAATGAGTTAGTATTTTAAAATTTTAATCAAATGTCCATTATCTCTCAATATAATAAAGTAGAATCTGAAGTACCTTGGAAATTAGAAGTTATTTATTGAATCACAAGATGATCTCATATAGTGCTAAAAATGTTATAATTTAATAAGCTTTAAAATATTTTATATTTTATAAAATACATCAATACCAAGATAAAATAGAATCAAATAAAACAATGTAATAAAGTAAATGACATAACTTACGGAATCCAAGTTCAATATTACACATTTACTTAGCAAGCTACAATATGCCTTCAAGGAAAGCTGAGAAATCTACTTAGAAACCGTCTGCAGTTTTTGGCATATCAACCATCTAATCCACATACAGGGCTTGTGCCCTATTTACAGCAATTCCTTGATTTTCAAATTTCTTATTTTTTTTCAAATGTTTCTGCAGCAATCCATTAAGACACTTTGCAAACAATCAAATATTTGACCTAAAATATGTCAGCAACACATTTTAAAATTTACATTTGCTTAGATAGAAAGCAGCTAATCATACTGATCTAAAAAAAACAACAATTTCGGAATCTTTGGTAGCCAATTACCAGAGAGGCATCACATCAGGGAACCATACTCTTCCCAGGTATTTGGAGACTTCAGTGTGAATTTCATCTAGGCTATAATCCTCATCAGGGATCAAAACTTCCTCCATTATAGAGAGCTGTGTTAGCCTTCTCCCACACAGTCTTACAAACTCGACGAAGGCACTGCAGCTGACTTCACATTCGCTGAGGCCCAAGGCTTTTAGGTTTGTACAGTGTTCAGCAACACAAATAAGTTCATTATCAAGAGGCTGAAGACCATTAGCACACACCACTAACTCAGTCAGTCGAGGACAGTAGAGAGCTATCCGTCCTAAAACCACTTTGCTGACTGAACAACCAAAATAAAGGTGAGTAACAGGGGTTTCTTCTTTGAAGAACATCTCAAATTCCTCTTCACATAGAAAGAAGTACATAGCAACATTAACTCTAGGGGAATGTTTAATAAGTGCATCCCAACTGTGTTTTTTAATAGCATGAAATTTAATCTGTCCAGGATTTTCACTCACAACATCAATTCGAAGATGTTCAAGGTTAACATGAGTCTCGCTTGAGAGCGCAAAGAGAAGTTCATCAGTTAGGATGTAATAATTCAACGCCAGTTCTCTAAGGCCTTGACAATGATCAGCTACACAAAGAATTCCTGTGGGAAGTTGGGGAAAATTCTTAAGAACAAAGAATCATACTGATCCTAATACAGTATTTTGTAAATTTAAATTTGATATTAATTATTCATTATTTGTGAAAAAGCTATCTAACAACTTCTGAGAGCATGTCTGCCAGGAGGTATTAAGTATATAATGAAAATCATGTGTATATATGTAAAACTAAAATATCTCAGGAGAAGGTTACTATAACTATACCTATCTTGCAGATTAAGAAATCTTTTGAAAAAACTTACTTAAATAATTTATGATTCATAGGAATATAATTTTCAAAAAGAAACTGCATCTTTATAGTTATTGTAATAAAAATAACGTATCATTCTAGCTTTAAAAAATGTAACCCACCATCAGATGAAACATGAGGACAGCTACTCATTTTTAGGAGTCTTAGAGTGTCACTATTATTGGCCACAAGAATCTTCAATGAAGGATCATCCACCGGTGTATTTTCAATTTTGATTGATGATAATGATTTTGAGTTGATAAAAACAACTGTAAGTGCTGACACAAAATGAGACTTGCATGGCCATAAGAAAAAATTATGAAAACATTATTTTAAAATGTACAGCTTTAAGTAATTCACTAAAACTATACCAATACATGCTAATGATAACATAGTAAGAACCATGAACATATGGCTGTTTCCACAGAATCATTTTCCAGTAGAAGATATTTTTATAATGAAGTATAGTTTTATACTTTTTATAATTGATAAACGAAATATGAGGAAAAAAAGCCTCAAAGATTTCATAAAAAATGTCTTCCGATTACTTCAATTAAGGATTTGGTTTTCAATATTAAAAGGACATAATTATTGTATATTTACTTCCTAGAACAAGGGTTGGTAGATTATAGACAACTTGCCAAATCCAGCCTATGGTCTGTTTCTGTATGGCTCACAAAGAATGGTTTTTGTATTTTTAAATGGTTGGAAAAATTTTTTAAAGAATAGTATTTTATGACATGAAAATTACATGAAACTTGAATTTCAGTATCCCTAAAATACTGTCTGATGGGAACACAGTCATGCCCTTTATTTAAATATTGTCTGTGCATCTGTGTCTGCTTTCAGACTCCAGTGTTAGAGTTGAGTAGTTGCGGTGTAACTAGTTGGCCCCCAACGCCTGAAATATTTGTTATTTGAATCTTTTTGACCCCTACCCTAGAAGAAACAGAATTTTTATCTGATTTATCCACTCCCATATGTCTAGCACCTAAAATAGTATCTGGCACATAGCATGGTAAATGGACGATAAAGATGTGTTGAATGAATAAATGAGATTTTAATTCATTTTATAAGATTTCACAATCTTCAGTGACATCCTTTTCCTAGCAAATTATCCAAAGTAAATCCAAGTCTGTAAATGCTTTGAAGACTGACAGATTAAAGCTTACTTCTAGTTTCACCTGAAAATGAGTAGAACTTCAGAAATTTTCAGATTCAGTATCTTTTGGCAAAGACAGAAAGTCTGGAAACCAAATCTGTACATGATCATTTTTCCCTTTTCAAAATCAATCAAGTTGGATTCTATCAAAGGTTCTATTATGCCTAACAGAATGACCAAATTGGTTATAAATGTTCATTAATTTATAAGAAAACTTATTGATTTACACTAATTGTAAACTGGTTTACACAAATTTTGAAATAGTACAAGGCTAGACTTCTTCAGTAAATTTTATGGTGCCAAAATTATTAGGGAAATATAAACACAAAGTTTAGTTTCCCTTTAATCAACTTTCAACTGACTGCTTTAGTCCTGAAGGACGACTTTAAAAACTATTAGAGTACATATTTCATTATAATAACAATGTATTAATTTAGTACTATTTATGCTTAGCAAAATGCTATACTTTTATTTTTCCTTAGTTTACAGATTTAAAAAACTGAGTCTCAGAGAGATCCACAGAGCTCACTTTAAACAGTAGAGGCAGAGCTTGAAATGAAGCTTGCTAATTAATTCCTGGTATCTAGCTCTGGTGACTGCATCAGCGAACCTAGAAGCTGGCCCTGGAAGCTGATGTGCAACATTAGAGACAGCTTTTAGAATATAAGAAGAATTTCAAGGTAATCTGATTTTGTAGTTCATAAACAAGGAAATAACTATCTAGAAGTGGTAAATTTCGTCGGATTACTTACATTACTCTAATCCCTAAATGACCCATTTTTTTCAGCACATCCCTTTAGAAGATAAACAGGCCAGCAGAAATACCGGCTAGAAGACTGCCATGACCCAGTTTATAAGAGAGATGCTGCTATTCCTCTATCTTCTTCCACAGGAAATGTCCATTAGCCAGCTTTACCAACTACCATAATTTAATGCCTACCATATATCAAACACTATTCTGACTCTAGGTTTATAATGGTAAACAAAATAGAATCTCTGCCTTCAATGAGTTTATGTTTGGTGTAAGGAGAAGAGAATAAACACATTAAAAAAATAAGGTGGTTTCAAGTACTGATGAATGACATGAAGAAGATAAAAATAATGTAACAGTAGAGTACATTATTACTGGAGCAGGGGGTGCCATTTTCACAGTTAAGGAGGGGCTCTCCAAGGAGGCGGCATTCAGGTTGAAGCCTGAATGAGGAGAATATGGTATTAGTTTCTATGGCAGAGCATGGTTGGTTGCTTCCTGGCAACCATTCTTCCTTTGTTTGTTAAATCAGTCCCAATTTTTAGCTGGGCACACTGCCACCCAGCTCAAAGATTCCCCAGACTCCCTGGAATCTGGTGTGGTCAGAATTAGAGGTAAACAGAAAACACTGTGTAGTACTTATGGGTGGTCTCCTTGGTAAGGAGAAGGCACACCCTTCTTCCCCCATTTCTAACACCCTAGCCCCCAGAGCAAGGACGTGATGGTTGGAGCTCAGATGGTCATCTTGAAGAAACACCTTGGAGAGAGTGGAGCGGCTGGAAGAAACCTAGGTTCCTACCACCTTCATACCAGCTATGGACTGTCTCACCTATCAATTTCTTTAATGTGAGAGAAATATACTTTGATCATGTTTTTAAGCCACTTTTCTTTTGGAGTTCCTACTGCATGAATGTAAACATCATGCTAACAAGCATAGGTTCATTTAGTTAAACATTATATTGTTCCACCTCCAAAACAGAGGCCACAGAATCCCAGGAAAAACATCCACTATTGCCTCTACATGCTCCATGTTCAAAGTAACTACATAAATTGTTATTTAAATAGAATAAGCACAATATCCAAATTTTATATTAATGACACTGTGGGAACAATGACTACAGTTACAAAATACATCTAAAGAATGAAAACATGCATAAACTATTTTTGCAAAAATAAGTGCTAGTCAACAGAAAACAGCTTGAAATAGTACTTTGAATACAAATAGGAGATGGTCTGTCTTTAGGAAAAAATGGCTTTTGCCTAGTTCGGCAGTCTTTAGGGATTTTAGTCTAGCTCACCAAAAACGCATAATATCCTTACCTCTGATACATTCATGAAACTTGGCTTGGCTGTTGAAATCAAGCCCAAGGTCTGGATGGAACAATTTACCAGCTGAGAGAGTATACCACAGGCAGCTTCTGCTGACTCGATACTACTGTCAACCTAGACAGACAATTTTTAATCTCAAATAATTTCTTGATGATAATTTATCAGAAATAATGCCAATTTAATTATTTAGTAGAATTCAATTGCAAAATTTTATTCATTCCTTTGAGCTATCGTATAAATGAGTATTTTTTCTTCGTACAAAATGTCTCAGACTATAAAATGAAAAACAGAGATGATGACAAATTAGCTTTCCAAGCACTTCATATTTTCAAATCTTTTACAATTACCTGAATTTTAATAACAGCATACAAATGATGGAAACTGCATTTTAAGTTTTTCAATTACAGTTCAAGTTCTACACTTCAATCGATGCAAATAACTGTAGAAAAACAGGAAACCGCTTCGGATAAAATGCTTTGCAAAACTCACTGACTGCCTCAAAATAAGGCTCTAGATATACAATAGCATTGTTAACAAAATGTAAGTCATGGTTTCCATTTAATGCTTATTTTTCTTACCTTAAAGCTGACATATTGAAGATGGGCAGAATGCTTTTTAATGATCTGCTGAATGAGATCAGGATGAGTGGACTTAAAATATGAAGTAGCTGACTGGTTCAGTTCAAATTCAAACTTTCTCCAAAGGTCAGGAATATGAAAAACTTCATTCCATCTCCTACATACAGAAGATGCACGGGCCCGATCTAGTAAAGGAAGATACTGAAAAATTCGTAATACTACATGGTGAGGCAAACTCCCCCAGTCTAGATGAACCGTGTGTGTATGAGTCTGGTTGAGAGAAGAGTAGAACCCAAGTTTTGGCTGTTTCACTGCTCCTGACAACTGGACAATTTTATTCTCAACAGATAAACTGTTCCTCTTCATTCTGTAAACATTAGAAAATGTTCAGTGTCTGATAGTTTTTTCACATTTTCACCAAATATTGGCACTCTAACTGTACAGAATAACATTAGAAAATGAAAAATTGTTTAATTAATACAATTTTAGTAGGTATCTTCCACTTTCACGCATGGATAGGTGCTACCTCATGCTGGGCATACAGAGATAAAGAAGTACTGTTCTCAAAGACCTATGGTCAAATGGTGAAATACAGTGATAAATGCTAGGACCAAAGTTGGGATAAGTTTCAATAGAAAGAAAAGAGGATGCATGTGATTGAGTTTGTGTGTGGAGGAGGTGGCTTGGGAGGCTTTCAGGAGGAAATGTCCAAGGAAGCAGTGTATGTCCCAGGTTTTTTTTTTTTTTCCTAGTCAATTATTGTATTTTAATTTCAAAGGAGGAAGTATCACATTGCAATTGTGCTAAACAAACAAACAAAAAAAACACATACACAAAAACCTGGGAGGTCTGGGAGATAGTAAAACACAATTAAAAGCATAGGTCTAGATAAGTCCCTACTCTGCTACTTACTAACCATATGATCTTGTCAGAACAAATTACTCTAAGCCTCAATTTCCTCATCTCCAACAAGAAAAGTACCTATAAGATCAATGTGAGGATTAAAGTACCAGCAGATAGTTTAGTTGCAGTCTGTGTTGTTATATTAAATTGTTCAGTGCAGTTTTCTGAACTGTTTTCATTACTTAAGTCAAAGCAAAATTCTAACAAAAACTCAAATGATCTGCAACAATTTTCAGATGACAGCCAGGACACAGGAGCGCAGAGAAGTTAGATATGGCAGGGACAAAGTCTTAGTTCAAGCAACACACCTGATCCTCTCCAGTAAAGCAGCCAGGAAATGAGCATTCTTACCCTCCAAACAGAAATGATGAATGTCCAGATACTAGCCAGCTTGGGACGCAACTAAGTTCTAGCAAATTTGAAGTCCAGATATGTCCAAGTATATATGGTCATCTTGTACATATATTTTATATAAGAATACAAAGTATTTTAAGTATACAATTATTTGAAAGGCAAAATAAAATAATGGTAAGAGTGGTTCTGAACTTTACTGAACTTTAGTTAACTATATAACCCTCCTTTAACCCCTGCAATATTAGGAATGTACACACGGAAGATTCAGTGTCATAACTGAAACACACCTTGAAATATAATAAAATATTTATGCAATATGTAAATATCTCTGTCTTGTGATTCACTGTGTCTCATGTGACACATTTCTTAAGCACAACATAGAGTTTGATCCCAGAAGCAGGAATGACCTGTAAAGTCATTGAACACAATGAAAAGTCATCTTTAGGGTTTGGAAAACTGAAATGAGAAGCAAAAATAGTTACAAAGCTGCATCTCAAGCATCAGGCAAAAGAGCTACTACACATATTTTAGTCTGACTAAACCAGTTACAGGCATGACTCAGGCCCTGTCCAGCAATACTATGTAGACCATGTGAAACTGCTGACTACCAAGAATTCAAAGCATATGCTATTTTAAAAGGCCTGATCTACCACTCTTCAATGCTAACTCCTTAATACTGAAAGGTACAAGAACAGATGCTGGATTCTAAACTCTGATGTGGAGCATAGTCATTGACATTTTGCTTGTAACCGTATCATTTGGAAATCTACAAAATGGATAAATTTTCACTAAGTTTTTATAAAGAAGTTACCCTTAATAGAATCCTTTACTTGAAAACCAGTGATGCTAACATAAAGACATCACTCAAATGCCAGGTTAGAAAACTATCTTGCAGTTCTAAACAGAGGGACTGTGCTATATATTAAATCTCATTGTATGTGGCATGGATTGTTAAAATTATTTAATAATATCATTAAATTGCCAATTCACTGATAGTAGAATCGCAATAAGTAATTAAGGGTATTATATTAATACCAGTAACTTCTTAAAAATAATATTTTAATTTTCTTTTAAGTTGTATAATCTTCAAAGCATAAAGATTATACTCATCCACAAATCAAAAATTTCATGTAATTTTATAGCTATGTATATTGTAAAATATATTTTAGATAAATTGATCTTTATTAGCTTGAAGACGTTAATCTAAAGAGTCTAGCCTAAAGATATGTAACCATTTAAAAAGTCGATCATTTCTTTTTCAAGCCTTTCTTACCTAAGGAAGGCTTCCAGATTAGAGTTCACTCTGAACCAATGAAATGAAGCAATGGTTGCCGTGGGGTACTCACCAACATCTATTTGATTTCACTTCCTATCTTGGTAAAATACCACAAAAACACATTCATCAGAATACATAAATAAACATCCAGTAATTTCTATGCTTAGGCTCTTTATATATCACTCTATATATTGAAGGATTTTGTTAGGAAATTATTGATTCTGAAACTGTTTTTTGTTGTTGTTCATTAAAAAACTAGCCCCGCTGGGTGCGGTGGCTCATGCCTGTAATCCCAGCACTTTGGGAGGCCGGGGCGGGTGCATCATTTGAGGTCAGGAGTTCAAGATCAGCCTGGCCAACATGGAGAAACCCCGCCTCTACTAAGAATACAAAAATTAGCTGGGTGGTAGTGGTGCACGCCTGTAATCCCAGCTACTTGGGAGGCTGAAGCAGGAAGGCAGCAGTTGCGGTGAGCTGAGATCACGCCACTGTACTCCAGTCTGGGCAACAGAGTGAGACCCTGTCTCAAAAACAAAAACAAAACAAAATAAAACAAAAACAAACTCCAAAAAACTAGCGTGGTTAGTGGAAATCTTGTTACGATTCCCAGGAATTATTCTTGAGGCTCTACCAAGTCTATGGATCAAAGAGTGAATGGACTCTAAGAATCCACATTTTAATTAACATCTATAGAGAGATACTGCAGCAAATGTGAGAGAATTCATGACCACAATTATTTGTTTATAGACTTTGTGAATCTTCCAGTTCCAGATTTTAGCAGCGCATAATACCATTACAGTTAGAGTAAAGAGGCAGACATGTGATTTTTATTATTTTATCATTCCCGTATGAATATAGTTGGACTAGTCTGTGTTAATAGAATATATGCTTCATATTTTAAAATCATTTCATATATAGTGATAGAGATGGCATTGATTCAGTCATACTCTCTTTGAGGTTTGCCAAATTTCAGGAAAATGATTTGTCAGAGTTAGCAGGAAAGTCTATGGAAATTGAAGAAAATAGTAATACAGGTCTACAGCAGGATAAAACTTACAGCCTTGGCATCATGAATAAATGTTGTAAGGTAAAAATAAGTAAATACATTCTACTACTTTTGTAAACCAAACTCAACTACACAGAGGAGGTAAACAAGGCAACCTATTAATTTACTAAACAGTTCCCTGAAAACTCTACTGTCTACCACCTGTTAATTTTTCATTTCTCTCTGAATCCAAGTCCTAAAGTAGAATTGGGGAGGACAGGCTAGCAGAATGTATTTGAGCTCAGGATCTACCATTTGATTTCCTCACTGCCACCTACTGTTCCACAGTTTTCCAGATAATGCCACGGTTGGCTGTCCTTCCTTTATTCCAGAAGCAGAGGGAAAGGAACTCCAGGGCACACTTTCAGTGAAACACCAAAAATAAAAGAAAGACAAGTCGAGTTACTAGTTATTCCTCAAATCAGGTAACACACAATTTTATTTAATGCAGAAGCTTTTCTCCTGAGTTACACTTATGGCTAATTTCTGTGCCAATAGGCCATTCTTCATGTGAGAATACTGACATAATACTGACATATCAATAGGGAGTTGCTACCTAAGACCAATAAGAAGATAGTGCACCACTACTTATCTCAGATCAGTTCACTGAAGTCTTCTGAATCAGATGAATTACTTCTCTGGTTGCTGAAGGAACGTGATGGCTGTCTCATAGTCACTAGAATTTTGAGGACAGGTACGGAACAAAACCAGAATACAGGACCCCACCAAGTGACAAGCCATTCTTCCAAAAAGGGAGAAAAGAGAAAGTTGGACATGGATCTTCAGCACAATTTCAGAGTATGAAACAAGTTTATTAGCACTGAGGAGCTCCACTAACCGCCTCAACTTAAATGTCTTTTTTGATGTGTTTTCTAATTTGGTAGATCAGGTGACCACGTGAATGGGATCTCTAAAAGTATCTAAGAGATTGCACACAGTATTCTTGAGGGCAAGATTATCAAAGACAGATGAGATGAAGACTGAACATCCACAGTCAACTCACTAAAGGCCATGGAAGCAGCTCTCCTCTGCACCATCACTAGGTTCTTTCAGATTGGTGAAATGAATACCCAAAAGTTACTTTTAATAGTTTCAAGTTTTCAGTGGTCACAACAATAGAATAGGAGAATACTACAGATAACAGAATATAGACGCAAAATTATCTGAAACGGGTGGATAAATTTGTTGGGAGCAGCAAAAGTAAACGGAAATAACTGTTAAATGTCCTGTATTTAATCTCCTTCCTAAAGTTTCACGATGAGCCATCAGATTGTTGCCCCAGGCAGATGGTCTATGTTAAGGAGTCTGGAATCCTAGTTACCAGTGCAATGGCAAGGAAAGCATGGCCTGGACAGGAGGGCCGAAGCCTGGCACTCCAAAATGCACGTAAAAACACACAGTTTTCCAACAAAAGAATGGGGCAACACCTCTTTCTACTGAATATAATCCAAGCAACGAACAAAACATAATTTGTTGGAGACGCTGCCAAAAAGATTTATGCACTTTGCAGCCCATGAGACTCTAAGTTCCCTTCTAAGTCTAAAAGTTACAATTCTTTTTAAAATATCAAATCAAATAAAAATATCACCCAGGTATTACGGAGACAAAAGATGAAAAATATTTATGTCAAATATTTCCTAAAGCAGAAGTTGCCATCTTTGCAGTGTTCTGGCATTTTGTCACTGGTTTATCAATTTTCTACACTCAAGTCTCTCGGTGGTATCAGTATATATCTATTTAAGAAGAAAATTTTTACTTCCTAATAAACATAATATGTATGCTTATTTTTAAATAAATCATATGAAAACTGAAGTTTCCCAAATATATGTAGATTGAAAACACCTTTGGAGACGCAAGGGGCAAAGCTGAACTAGGCAGTTTGTGAAAAGCCCTGAATGGAGGGCGCCAAGGTCATCTGTTTCTCTCTCCACATCGACCCCGAAGTCGTGTCTCCGACTCTGGAAGCGAAAAGGGAGCGGACAGCAAGCAAGGCCCATCCGCAGGGAGGCCTTCCGAGCCAGGGGGAGCCCGCCTAGGGCTGGGCATGCTAAGGGAGCTAACAACGAACACAGGTGTTTCCAGAAATCATTTTTGCAAGATTTTTCCGGGAGAAAATAATCATAATTTCCTCTTCAATTTCTTATTTTGGAAGCGTCTTAAAAGGCACACTCGCCAAAGACAAAGACGGAACACCTTAAAGCGCACAGATGAGCGCTTTCAACTCGCGAGAAGGCTACTTTTTGACATTTCTTTGTGGTAACTATTAACTCCTGAGAAGTTAGCTGCAAGCAGTCGTGCAAAAAGCCACCTCGGGTATCAGTCATCACTGGACGAACGCCGCCCTTTCTAGGCTCACTCCACCGAAGAGCCAGACGAGTGGTTCATGGGGTGGCCGGGTGGGCGCCCAGCATTGCGGAAACCCCGCCCCGCGAGAAAGCGGACGCCCTGGGGCTGCACTTC